GCGGGCGCGGGCGCTGCTCGGGCCGGGCGCGCCGGGCCTCGGTCCCCGGCCGCCCCCCGGCCCCGGGCCGCCCTACGCGCTGGGCTGCGGCGGCGCGACGCGCTGGTACCCTCGGGCGCACGGCGGCTACGGAGGTGGCCTCAGTCCGGACAGTGAGTCGGGGCGCCGGGAGGGGTGGGCCGGCGGGGACGGTGCTCGCGGACTGTGCGTCCGTCGGAGGCCTTTCTGGGCCGCCCTCCTCCTCGCGTGTAGCGGGGTGGGCTTGGAGGCCCGCTCCCCGGGACAGGGAGCTCCGCGTCGCCAGGCTCTGCGGGTGCCAGGGAGGCTGGAGAGCCTTCGGAGAGGAGCCCGGGGACGGGGAGCGCGGGCAGCTGAAGCAGAGCGAGGGTCGGGGGCTGGAAAAAGACAGGGAGAGACGGAGAGCGGAGAGAGGGTGGGGGAAGAGGGAGGGATGGAGGAAGGAGGAAGAGGGATGTGGGGAGAGAGGAAAAGAGAAGACGCAGACACAAAAGCCCCGCGGGTGATGGTGAGAAGACAGGGACGTAACGGGCAGAAGAAGTGAAGACAAAGTAGAGTCCGACCCGGAAACGTGAAGGGGCTGGAGCAGAGGGAGACACTGTTGGGGGGCTGGAGAGCGGAGGGGGGAGCATCTGCGCCCCCCAAACCCTACCTCCTCTGAGAGCTGAGGACAGGGGCTGGGGCCGGCGACACCTTCCTCTTGGTCCTCCCAGGCAAGAAGGGAGCCCGTTCTGAAGCCCCCAGTCCCACCCCTCTGTCTTCCTTTTCTGCCCCTCCCCCTCCCATGCCTTTGTTCCCTGCTGAGGGCTCAGAGGCTGGGAGTGGGGGTTCTCAGCCCCACAACTGCTCACCCCTCTGGCCCTGAGTTCTGCTTCCTCTCCCCAGGCTCGCCTCCTCCCTTGGGGACCTGCCGCCTCCCTTGGGGACCTGCCCTTTGGAGGAAGACCCCTGGGAGGAACACCAGGAAGTCATTCCAACGCTGGCCCCCAGGCTTGGCCAGCAACCCCCCCCCCACACACACACACACTAAAGCCAGCTCAGGACTCTTCCAGGTTCTTGCTCCAAAATCCGTTGCCAGACCCCTCTCAATAAACCCTTCTCTGGAGTGGGAGTGACCCTTCTGCAAAGGGACCCACCTCACAAAGCCCATACCCAGAAAAGTCTGGGGCCTCCACCCCTTTCACGTACACTGGATCAGGGCTCGGTGGTTCCCCTGAAATCGAGTGATCACATTTAGTGCCCCCCGCCCCGGGAGTGTTTCTGAGAAGGTCTGCCAGGGTGAGATGTGGTCCCCACCTTGCCCCAGGGTCTTCTCCCCCTGCAGCCCTCATGGCAGCTCCTGAAGACACGGCTTCTTATTTCGTGCAATGCGGGTTAGGGTCCAGGTTTCCCACCAGAGCCGGCAGGCCTGGCGTGCTGTGTTGTGGTAGTGTGTGGGCCTCTGTGAGTCTGGGGTCTCGGGGTTTGTGGGGAGGCAGAGGCTCCTGGTAGCATACACACGCCAGCTTGGAACCTGACTCCCCGTCAGGCACCGTCAGGCACTGGGAGGGCTCACACCACCGGGGTTGGGCAGGGGCACACTCGAATCTGCGTACCTCCAGGGGCACCGGGGTATGCTCCAAGCCACACACACAATCCCAGCGGTGTTGGCACACCTTGTAAACACTCACGTTGCCGGCACACCACCGGCTTCCGAGGGCTGGAGGGGCTGGAGCGGCCAAACTCCACTTAGGCCTGCCAAGCCTTGGCACAGGGGGCTCAGGCCAAGGCGAGGCGGAAGGGCAAATTGGCCCGGGGTCGGCCTGAATCCCACAGGCTGGCCGCTGCAGTCTTCAAGCGGGGGGCCTGGAATCTGGACGTGCCCCTGCGTCCTGGGCAGACTCTTTCACCTGGAGGCACCATCCCTTGCCAGTCCTGGGGGGCATCTCCTTACTTGTGGGAGATCAGTTGGAGCCAGGTATTTTGGATTATGAGCTCAGGAACCCCTGTGGCCTTCTGTAACCCCAAGCCCACAGGCTCAGCCACGGTGTTTCTGCAGAGCCCCGTTTGTATTTGCATTGGGGGAAGAGTGGACGCGTAGGCCTCCGTGGGCATTTGGGTGAGGGGAACAGAAAGTGGGGAGTGGGTGGGGGTCCCGGTGTCACCTGGAGTTTTGTTTTGGGGACTGTTTGCATTTGTTTATTCTCCTATGGGATGTTTCTGTGCAAGCGGGGAATTTTGCCTCGGCTTCTGATAGGGGATGGGGAGGGTCACTGCAGGTCTTTATTTCTGTGTCTGGGGGGCTTGGTGTAGGGCTGGGTGCCGGGGGAGTGAGGCTGCCCTTGCTTGTTTTCTGGTGCGTCCTATATCTCAGAGGGGAGGGCATCCTTCGTCCAGTGCAGTGTGGCGCCGGAGAGGCTTTGTCGTGTTTCAGTGCGGAGCCTGTGGTTTCGGGAACCTCTCTTCTTTCTGTGTTTCTGTTTGCATTTTGTGTTTCTTTTCTTTCCTCTTTCCGCTTTCATCCTCTGGTGTGGATGTGCAGCTCTGAGTGAGAGTGTGTTGCCAGCCTGTTGGTTTGCAGTATTGCTCTCTGGTCTTCCACTCACCACCTCCTCCCTCTGCCTTTCTCTATCCCTGGGTGAGATCTCCAGGCAGCCCTGCGGCATGCAGGGCCCTGCCCGGGGACTATTTCCCTGGGGCAGCTGTGGGTGAGCCCATGGGTTGGGGGAGCAGCCGGCCGCAGTGATTGGGTCTGGGGATTAGCCCCAGAACCAACCCTGTGCCCCTCTCTCCCCTGCAGCCAGCGACCGGGACTCACCGGAGACAGGCGAGGAGATGGGCCGAGCCGAGGGCGCCTGGCAGCGGGGCCCCGGGCCGGGAGCGCTGCAGCGAGAGGCAGCCGAGCTGGCGGCGCGGGGCCCGGCGGCCGGCCCGGAGGAGGCGGCGGAGCTGGCCGATGCTCCCGCCGTGGCGGGCGAGGCGCGCGGCGGCGTCGGCGTGGGCGGCGGCCGCAAGAAGAAGACGCGCACGGTCTTTTCGCGCAGCCAGGTCTTCCAGCTCGAGTCCACTTTCGACCTGAAGCGCTACCTGAGCAGCGCGGAGCGCGCGGGCCTCGCCGCCTCCCTGCAGCTCACCGAGACGCAGGTCAAGATCTGGTTCCAGAACCGTCGCAACAAGTGGAAACGGCAGCTGGCGGCCGAGCTGGAGGCGGCCAGCCTGTCACCGCCGGGCGCGCAGCGCCTCGTCCGCGTGCCGGTGCTCTACCACGAGAGCCCCCCGGCCGCCGCCGCCACCGGGCCCCCGGCCGCCGCGCTGCCCTTCCCGCTGGCGCCCGCCGCGCCCGCGCCGCCGCCGCCGCTGCTTGGCTTCTCCGGGGCCCTGGCCTACCCACTGGCCGCCTTCCCGGCAGCTGCCTCCGTGCCCTTCCTGCGGGCACAGATGCCCGGCCTGGTGTGAGCCCCACCCGCTGGGCCCACACCCTGGGGCCGCTGGGGACCTCTGGGGCGGCCCAGGGAAAGCTGGGGGAGGGCCGGGCCGCTCCGAGGGCCCCTCTGCGCCTGATTGCAGGCTGCCTGCCGTGCCGGCCAGGGCCCTGTTCGAAGCTCCTCCAGAATGTAACAGAGATGTCTTGGACTGTGGCGCCCAGACAGGCTGGAACCCTGGCAGGGAAGAGGGCATCCCGGAGAGACAGTACGGTGTGCCAGGCAGCCCAGAGCCCCAGCAGGACAGGCCTCCGGCGGGAGCAAGTTCAGTGACCCCGCTGCAGCCCGCAAGCACCCAGGCGCAGTCCACACCTCCCCCCCCCTCCCGAGGCAAAAGAGGCTGTTCGAGGTGCTTCAAGGTGACCAGTCCCCAACACAGCCCCCATCCGACATACACGTCCCTCCCCAGGACTGTGCAGGACCCCAGACAGCAGGCCTCCAGAGGACTGTGACCAGCCTCATGGCCTTGCCAGTGGGCCCCACAGAGGGAGAACCCCAGGGAGAGCACCCCTGTGCAGGGGAAGGGGCGAAGACGCGGCCGGGTGGCACTTGCATCAGAGTGTCCCTTCTGCAGACAGGGCTGGACTGAGGCTTCTCTCCTGGGCCGTGGCCTCCAGTTCTTCTGGCGAAGACTTTTTTAAAAATGAACCTACTTATTTGCGTATGGAATAAAAGGGACGTTTTCTGGACCGTTTCGGCTGCTTTGTGATCACTGGGACGGGGCCCCTCCTCTGATAGCAGGCTACGGTGGGTGCTGTCCATCCCTCCTTCCTGGAGCTCTTTCCAGTGCCCACCAAGGACTGGTGGCAAGGTGGAAAGGGCAGGCAGGAGTCAAGGTCTGGGGACTCCCCACTCCAGCCCCTACATCCCCCTCCCTGACCAGGAGGCCCAGCAGGACCTCTGAGGACTTTGCGATGGGGAAGGTAGAGGATTGGGGGGGGAGGAGGGGACTATGTGTCCCGTGTCCCACAGTTCTGGGGCCTCCACAAAACCCAAAAGCCATGAGTCAGGTGAAGGTAGAGCCTGTCTCCTTTGGCACAAGGGGCTGCTGGCTGTGTGGCCCCCCACGTCCACTGCCCCTTCCTTGATAGCCATCTCTAACCATATGGGTTTTTCTTTTGGCCAAAACAAAACATGGACACTCCCAGCAAGGTCAGGCGGGGAATGCTGCTCTCCAGCCTCCCCTCCCCCCCGGACCATCTGCAATCTCTGGCAAGCTTGGGGGATCCAGACCCATGGGCAAAGCCCCAGCTCAGGGCCTGAGTTTATGGGCTCTGAACAAAAGCTTATTTCAATAGTCTGGATTACGGTGGCCATCCAACCTCCATCAGTCCCAAGATAGGCGGTTACAGGGTGAATACAGGGTCCCCTGCAAAGGGGGTCAGATGATGGACCCTTTATGTGGTATGCTTCTCTAGTTGGGGAGAGAGGTCATTTGGGGCTAGAAAGGGTCACTTCTGACAGAATCGAGCCCCCTTGAAAACCTGTCTCGGTCCCTCGCTTCTGGCTCCTGGGTTGAGATGCACGGTAACTGGGCCACACTAGGGGCTCCATGTCCTCAGCGGTGGCGCCAGACAGCCCAGGAGAAGGCGCCACGGAGGTCTTCCCTGGGCTGGTGGTCCATCTGTCTGTCTGCCCCTGCCATCCAGCTCCGTGACCCAAAATCATCCCCTGTCCCAGCGCCTGTTGGCTCAGGTGCCCTGAGGCCAGACCGAGCAAGTGAGGCCTCCTGACGGGGGGCAGCCCATGGTCTGGGTGGTCCTTGCCCCTCTGGGTCCCTGCATAAGAGAGATTCCGGAAGTTCCTCCCCCAGCCCGGCCCCCCGCCCCATAGGTGCATTTGCAGCAGCCACCTCTGCCTTCCTTGGGCCCTTCAGGGGCTGGCTCTCCTCTTCCTTGGGGTGGGGGAGAGCTGCCCCACGCTGCTTTTCTCCAAACTTGGTTTCAGTCGACTTTAGGAGGGACTTCTGATCTGCTTCAATAAAACGAATTTGCTGCTAGTTATTTTTGAAGGCTGTGGCTCCTGGTCAGTGGCCAAGGAAGACGTGGAGTGCCCAGGAGGCCCCTCCAAGGGCAGCACCGACCCATCTCTCCCTCTCTGCTCCCTCCCACTCTCCCCACCCTGCCCTAGGTAGGCCTCCACACTCCTGCCTAGGGCTCCATCAGATACCCTTCCCCTCTGTTCTTCTGGTGCTTTCCTGGTGGGCTCCAGCAGTCAGCGGACACACACTACCAGTCCCCGAAAGGACACCGCCAGCCTGCCTGGGAAGAGGCCTCCAGGGCCAGTGCAGGTGCTGCCAGAAGCTGCCATCCACTCTGCCTCTTTACCTTCACGCACCAGGCGGGTTCGGGAGCTCCGTGGAGCACCCTCTCCATGGTACGGAGAGGAAATGGTTTTCGGGAACAGCTATGGTCACGGGGACTTTCGGACCTCAAATGGTACAATAAAAGCCCAAGTCAGAGGGGTTATCACTACCCTGCAACCGTTTTATTCGACTGTTTGTGGCTGATGCGGGTACAGTCCCGAGGTGGCCTGGCGACCCTGCCGACCGCAGCTCTCCACTGAGCGCAGTGTGGGTGAGGTCCAGGGGGGGTCGCCCTCAGCATCATCGGGTGGGGCCGCTACCGGGGCCACGGTTGCGGGAGAAGGGAGAGGAGAGTGCAGGTACCACGTCTAGGAAATCCCCTCTGCCTCCTGGGAAGCCAGCCAGCCTAGGGACTGTCATCGGCCACCCAGCCTGTGTCTGTCACCCGCATGTCATCGGCCACCCAGCCTGTGTCTGTCACCCGCATCAGAGGGAGAAAGGGTCTGTGGCTGCAAATTTGGGCTGGATTTGGACAAAGAGCTGTGTCTTTCAATGGAATAGTGAAAAGTTGACCTGTAGAGAGGCTTCCTTTGCCTGCAGGCTCTGAGGTCCTCGGATAGAAGGAGCCAGGAGGTGGAAAGAGGGGCTGTGGGCTGTGTGAGAAGGGCTGGGAGCAAGGGGCCTAACCTCGGAGTACGCAGGGTGGATGCAAACCTGGGTTAGGCCAGCTGGGCTCAGGGAAGCTGGCTCTCCCCCATACTGAGCCAGCATCCTAGGTGTCTCGCAGCAGGGGTGCAAAAAAGCAGAGCAAAGCAATGCGTAACTCGTAACTCGAAGCCCAAGAAGCCCTAGAGGGCGCGCGGGACCAGGCTGGGGATGCACCGGCCCGGAGTTCCAGCAGCATCCATCACTAGGAACCTAGGGCACGTTGGCTCCGCTCCTGGCAGATGATGAATGTCTTCGATGGCTTTCCACCACACCTGCCCTCCCCTACCTCTAGAACCCACCAACCTCACCTCCTCCTCACACAAGGCCAAATTCCCGCCACCGTGGGTGGACTGTGCCGGTGCTGCTGGTTGCAGAGTCCCTGAGCCCAGGCAGGGCCAACAGGCTCTGGACATCTGGGGCAGGACAACCCGACCCAGGCTCGGCTCCACTACCTCAGTGACCTTGAGCAAATCCCTCCTCTCCTCCAGGCCTCGGTTTCCCCATGAAAGACCAGTGTGAGGATGGTGGTCTGTAACCAGTAAATGTTTCGCGTTCTCTGATCAGAGCAAGGGGACGAGGCTCCTGGGGCCAGTGTCATAGGGACACCCTCCCACAGTGATGTGCGATTGGGGGAGTGACCCACCCCTCTGTACCTCTCAATCCCCTGCCCAGTCTCCACAAGAGCCCTGAAAAGAACTCGGAGAATCAGCCCCCTCCCAGAGTTTGTCCCCAGGACCTCGGAAGATGAAACTCACCCTCCTGGTGTTGGGAAAGGCCACCAGGGGCTCGGATCCCTCCTTAAGTCAAGGGCAAATGGGGAGTTGCAATCTGGGAAGAACTCCCAACCAGGTTCCTGCTCTGCATAGAGCCAGAGCTGCTGGAAGCAGACATGCCTGCCCGTTTTCCTCCCCAGAGAGTTGCCCTGGGCTGCACCCTGGGCTCACTCCTGCCCGCCTCATCCAGAGCCCTGGTGAGGGAGTGAAAACCCTGACAACCGCCCTTCTAGCTGGGGGCTCCCCCCCCCCCCCCCCCCCCCCCCCCCCCCCCCCGCCCCCCCC